GGCAAATTTTCTACTTTTTGCTATGGAGTGCAGTTGACTGTCAGAAAGCTTACGTAATGTTGTAACGTGACGAAGGCTACGCTTTTGAATGGCCATAGTTAACTCTACTTCTGTTTAACACGGACAAGTGCAAAAGCGTTTAGTTCCGCTACAAGTCCAAGTGATCATAGAAGCTTGGAGAAGATATGCTGAATGCCACATCAAACGAACGAGACCCTGGGGTGATAATTCACTATGATCTCGGCTGTTCAACGCAGTCCCTGAAGACGTTCAAAACAGCGAACCAACATGTTGGTCTGCTGCGGAGAGCGTTCGGGGGTTTCGATCCCTCTATCTTCCCCCAAATGCTCAATGCGTATGGGAGGCCCAAGGTAGAATACGTGGTTCATGCTTGGCAACCGTGGTTAAAGCGCGAATTGGTTGAACTGGAGACCGCCCAACGACGGGCAACGAAAAATCTGAAGCTTTTGTCCCACCTGCAAAACCATAGGCGATTGAAAGCTTTGGGAATGTACAGAGTGTCTTTTCGGGTGCTTTTCTTTTAGATCCATCAAGAAGTCGGAGCACCTCTACCAATTCCTGGATTAACGACCCGCTCAAGAAGGAACACTTGCGTGATTCATCCTATCGTTCCAGTCCCACCTGAACTGGAACTTGAACCAATTTCGTACGGCGATTCATTTGTCATAGTAGGGCGCAATATACCAATCGCTGTTTCTACGTTCCGAAATGAAAGTATAGCGAGTCGGAACTTTATCCCTGACTGGATTTCACGAAACTCAGATGGAAGCCTGTCCCATAGTATGGAGTTTGGGCTATTGAAAAATGGTGTGATGTTTTCACTTTTACTATGTTGTTGGTATTATTTCGAGTGCGATATATTGACATTTCTGCTCGTTGTACTGCTTGGTGTGGAGGGTATTTGTGGGTACTTGGATCAAAGAAGCTGAAAAGGTTAATTTTCATTCTTCGCAGTCACAGTGGATCAAGTTTTAAGACAACGCAACGATCCATATAAGAAAGGGTGGTGGTGGTAGACTCTTAGTAACTGATCGTTGTGCACGTTCTAATGTGCAGCAGTCTGGAGATTCCCCGGTTTGCCTGTGTAAAATTCTAACTAACATTATTTCATTGAACACTTAGGCAACCGGCGTGGTCTGCTGAACTGATTGCTGGGTTTGAATGCTTGACGTTTTAGTGCACCGAAAAACAAGTGCATTTTGTAACTTGAACTTTACGACTTTTTAACCTTCGAAACGTCCATTTGTCTTACTGACTGCACATCCGTGAACACCAACAGTTTTGGTGAGTACCTCACTGCACGTTTCCCGCTCTGTCTGATTCGCTTCATATTCTAGTAATCTGCACAATATACATTGGGTTCAGTCGCCTCCGACTTCTATACTGTCGTATTGACACGTCTTACGTGTGATTGCTTACCGACTAGTATCGCAGGATGACCCCCTTTCAGGAACAAGCCGCCCGCCATGTTGCATTTTCGTTTTGGTCGCTAGCTCTAGTGATTTTGTGATTCATTACTTGTGCTCATAATATTTTCTCACCCACTACATTTTTAGCAGCTTTGTGCATTTGATTATCTAGAGGGTAAGCTGTCTCCATTCGTGGTTAACGCAGTTCAGAATGTAATGGTCAATTCTGTTGCCTTAGCCCCTCCCTCTTTTATGGAAAATTATCCTTTATAAAGCTTACTGCACCTAGAATCCGTATTTTATATTCGTAGCATTTCTTCTGCTTTCGCCATGTATAATCATGGTATCCTTCCTCAGTATATCCTCGCAGGTGAGAGACATCATACTTTGCCCCCTCTAGTAATGAAATACGGGACACTTAAACAGGCTATTATTCAGCGAATCACGCCTTCTGACAAGGTCCGTCTGCAGCAACTATTTGGTGATCTGCAGCTAGGAGATAGGATGCCCTCAACCTTGTTGCGCGAAATGCAACAGCTCATCGGCACCTCCAACATGGACGTAGGGGTTCTCAGCGAACTGTGGATGCAACGCCTTCCTGAAAGCACACAGGCTATCCTTGCAGTAGCAAGCGACTTGCCCATCGCAGCAATTGCAGATCTAGCAGACCGCGTCATCGAACGGCACCAGCCAGAGACTGAAACCAAATCACCTAAGCAGATTTGCGCTGGCGCAACCACAACGACAGGCGCGACTAACCCGCCGTCGGCAATAGACGCATTATCATTGCAGATAGCGTCGCTTCAGCGCCAGTTCGAGGAACTCACTTTAAACCGTAAGCACCGCAACCGCTCCGGATCATCGCCCCGTCGCACAAAATCTGATGCCACAGGTTACTGCTTTTACCACTTGCGTTTCGGTACTAAAGCCCGTAAGTGCGTGCAGCAGTGTGGCTACTCCGCTATAGATGATCCGCCACGCCGGGCCGTTATGGCTACGAACGTCGGCAAAGCTCAAAATCGTCTCATATACATAAGGGATTATGACTCCGATACCCAGTTCTTAGTTGATACTGGGGCGGAAGTCAGCGTCCTTCCCCCTATGCCTGGTGAGCCTACCACTTCTGTGTCGACAAGTCTCAGTGCCGCCAATGGCACGCCAATACCCACCTAGGGTCATCGGTCACGTACCCTGGACCTAGGTCTTCGGCGCACTTTCCGCTGGATATTCACTGTCGCTGCAGTCCCCTTTGCCATAATCGGCATTGAATTTCTCAGGCATTTCGACCTCTTGGGCGATGCGAAACGCCAGATGATAGTCGACGCTGCAACAAAACTCAGCGTACGTGGCATCACCGCCGATGTCACATCTATATCCCAGGTCTATGCATTTCCCCAGACCTCGCCAGACTACGCTAATCTCTTTTCTCAGTATCCCAAGCTCGTTCAGCCAATGAAAGCAGCTTTGCCCGTGGCAGCTCAAGTCACGCACCACATACGGACGAACGGCCCACCTGTGTCATGCCGTCCACGCCGACTATCGCCTGAGAAACTAAAGGTAGCTAGGGCGAAGTTTGAGCACATGCTTGAACTTGGAATAATCCGCCCTTCCGACAGCCGTTGGTCCTCGACCCTGCAGATGGTCCCCAAGAAACCTGGTGACTGGCGCTCTTGTGGTGCTTACCGCGCACTCAATCGCCTAACCTTCCCAGATAGGTATCCCATCCCACACATGCAGGACCTTACCGCATGCCTCACAGGTAAGACTGTAGCAGTCTGGAGATTCCCCGGTTTGCTTGTGTAAAATTCTAACCAAAATTCTATAATTGTACACTTAGGCAACCGGTGTGGTTTGTTGAACTGATTGCTGAGTTCGAATGCTTTACTTGCTCATCGCCATTTTTGCTTGGCGCTCGCTTCGGTTGCAACGCGCGACTGCTCTGTGTGCTGTGCTTGATCCGTTCCCCTAGCTAGAGCGTCCACGGTGTCGTTCATTTATAGCTAGCTAACAGGGAATCTTTTGCTGAACCAATAAAAGTTTCCCTGCAACTCGATCTGTTTTCTGGAATCGCTCTCTGGGCTCCCGGAATAGGCAGCCCTCTAAATTGGTGACCCCGGATCCGGAACTATCTCAACGCCGGATATTTGGAACTTTTCTCTGGTGAGCTCGTTCCATTTATTTTTCATATTTTCCGGTTAATTTTTGCATACGGTAGCCTATTTTTTGCCTCATTTTTTCAAGCCATGGAATCTGTAGACCATGAGGTAGAGTCTCTGCTTAGCGTTGTATCTCTCTCAGTTCCACCTTTTTGGGAGTTGGATCCTCTTTTGTGGTTCACTCTTCTTGAGGCTGAGTTTTATAACCACAGAATCACTTCCGACTACGCGAAGTATTGCAAGCTCCTGTCCTATCTCCCCAAGGAGATATCAACGCAGGTTCGTGACGTTATCATTTCTCAGACCGATAACCGCTATGAGGCTCTGAAGGAGGCCACGATTAAGCGTGTTATGCCCTCTGATAAAGTTCGCCTGCAGCAGCTTTTCAGGGATCTGCAATTGGGCGACAAACTGCCCTCAACCCTGCTAGGAGAGATGCAGCAACTCCTTGGTTCCTCAAAGATGGACGAGACTTTACTTCGTGAACTATGGCTACAACGGCTACCGGAACACACGCAAGCGATTCTCGCTACAGTGAGCTCCGTTCCGCTCACTCAACTAGCAGATTTAGCGGATCGAGTTAACGAACGATCACAGCCACAACCCGACGCCAGCAAGATCAATGTCGTCGCGTTTTAGGGGCACTTCTATCACTGGCTTACAGTCAACCATAGAAGCCCTGCAAGCACAAGTTGCGACACTTAGTCGTCAGGTGCAACAGCTTACTATGACCCGTCGTCGTCCTAGCCGCTCAAAATCGCCCTCCAAACGTTCTCGGTCTAGCAACAGGCAAGTTAGCTGTTGGTATCATCAGCGCTTTGGTACCGCAGCGCATAAATGTGTAAAGCTTTGCAACTTTGCCGAGAAGCAGGGAAAACTTCGCGGCCGGTCGGTAACGGCGACGGACGCGACTGGCCAACACCAAAGTCGCCTCATTCGCGTCAGGGATTTAACTTCCGGCACCGAGTTTCTAGTAGACATTGGTGCTGAAGTTAGCGTTATACCCCGTAGCTCAGATGAGGTCGTCTCACCATCGCCGACCAAGCTGCGTGCCGCCAATGGCACACCAATCGCAACTTTCGGCGAAAAGTTGCTAACACTCAATTTAGGCTTCCGGCGAACCTTTCGCTGGCCTTTCATAATCGCTGCCGTGCCTTTCGCCATCATAGGCATAGACTATCTTCAACGCTTCGATCTCATCATCGAAGCTAAACGGAAGAAGCTTATTGACTCTAGGACACAGCTCAGTGTTATCGGGACTAGAGCCAACGTGGCTGCTATCACTCCCATTCGTGTCCTACCTCAAGCTTCACAGCCTTTTCTAGAACTTTTCAGCAAGCACCCTAAACTCGTTCGCGTCTTGAACGAGTTGCCTCCTGTGACGTCAAACGTCACGCATCACATCTGCACTAAGGGCCCACCTGTTTCGGCCCGCTCTCGCCGACTAGCCCCGGACAAGCTCAAAGCTGCTAAGGCGGAATTCGAGCAAATGCTCGAACTGGGAATCATCCGCCCGTCCAAAAGTCTATGGGCATCCCCATTACACATGGTGCCGAAGAAATCCGGTGACTGGCGCCCTTGTGGTGACTACAGGGCACTTAACAAAGTTACCGTCCCGGACAAATTCCCAATTCCGCACATGCACGACTTGACCTCAGCTCTAGCTGGCAAGTCTATCTTCAGCAAAGTCGACTTAGTTCGCGCCTACCATCAGATACCTGTGGGGCCAGACGACATTGCTAAAACAGCAGTCATCACGCCATTCGGCCTATTCGAGTACCTCAGAATGCCTTTCGGCCTCAGCAACGCTGCCCAAACTTTTCAGCGTTTCATTCATGAGGTAACGCGAGGACTCGAAGGCGTTGATCCCTATCTAGATGATATTCTTATCGCCAGCTCTTCTAATGACGAACATCTTCGTCACCTCGACGCACTCTTCCAACGCTTGACGCACCATGGGGTTACCGTCAACCCCGATAAATGCGAGCTTGGCCAAAGTTCCATCGACTTCCTTGGTCACCGCATACCTGCCTCTGGTATCGAAGCCCTGCCAGACAAAATCCAGGCACTGAAGGACTATCCTGCTCCCAGTTCCTTCAAGCAGTTACGCCGATTCCTTAGCCTGGTCAACTATTACAGACGCTTTATACCTAACTGCGCGAGCATTGTTCAACCGATGACTGACTTGCTCCGCGGTAAACAACGCTCTTTTCACTTTCCAGACGACGCTAAATTGTCTTTCGAGAAGCTCAAAGACGCTATATCCAACATAGCGCTTCTCGCCCATCCAGACACATCAGCACCACTCTCCCTGACGACTGACGCATCCGACACTGCCGTCGGTGCAGTTCTTCAGCAACTCATCGACCATCGATGGATACCTCTAGGTTTCTTCTCAAAGCGCTTACAACCTGCCGAATCGCGATACAGCACCTTCGGTAGGGAACTGTTAGCTATCTACCTAGGTATCCGACATTTCCGTCACTACCTCGAAGGTCGACATTTCACCGTCTTCACCGACCACAAGCCATTGATCTACGCAATTAATGGCGCAACGGACAAGTATTCACCGCGGGAAACTAGACACCTAGACTACGTTTCTCAGTTTACGACAGACGTACGTCATGTCTCAGGTGCTCTCAATCCCGTCGCGGATGCGCTTTCACGCATTCAACAGATCAGCTTATCTCCTGGCGCCAACATTGATCTAGCCGCTATGGCTGCTGCCCAACAAGCTGATCCCGACATAAGCAAGCCACGACGCAACACCACTGACACGATCACCATTGATCGACTCAAGCCAGCATTCTTCGACAAGTCTGACTCGCCGGTGCAACAAGCACCTTCACAGCCTGTGCCATCACAGCTGGCACCGCAACCTCAGACGAGTCAGTCCGCTCCAGCAGAACCGACAACCACAACCGACAGCACTCCTACCCGCCCTACTCTCAATCAACGCGGTAGGAAGCTCAAACCTAAGGTTCGTTTTTCGGACTCCGTTCGCACTTACTTTTTTACGTAGAACGTGCCTTAGAAATATTCTGCTCTTACTAAACGTTTTTGAAAATCCACAAAAAAGACCAAAACGTTTTGAAACTACCAAAAAAGAGCAAAACCTTTTGAAAACACCAAAACAGCTTTGCACGTTTTTCGCTTTGCACTCTTTTGTGTATTGCTATGCATTTATGCTGCTTTTTCATTTTGCTTTCCATATACACCGTCGGTTCGTTGCACCTCGGTTTCTCTTTCCGCTGGATCCCCGCACGTCAACTGCAAGTGGAAAGAACTTCTGCTCAACTGCCTACGTGAACCTTATTAACTGTTCCCCCCACAAACAGTTTTTTACCGTTTCGACACCGTAGGGAGGACACGGGTGGGAGCCCGCTAGGGTCCGATTGCATGGTTCTCCCCCAGCAGCTGCATCGGGTTTCACAACCTGGTCTCGCAGAAGGCTGGCCCGCGACGGACAGTCCTCACGTAGATCGAAGGACTGCTTACACAGTCCCTTCTGGGAGAGGGCTATGTAGCAGTCTGGAGATTCCCCGGTTTGCTTGTGTAAAATTCTAACCAAAATTCTATAATTGTACACTTAGGCAACCGGTGTGGTTTGTTGAACTGATTGCTGAGTTCGAATGCTTTACTTGCTCATCGCCATTTTTGCTTGGCGCTCGCTTCGGTTGCAACGCGCGACTGCTCTGTGTGCTGTGCTTGATCCGTTCCCCTAGCTAGAGCGTCCACGGTGTCGTTCATTTATAGCTAGCTAACAGGGAATCTTTTGCTGAACCAATAAAAGTTTCCCTGCAACTCGATCCGTCTTCTGGAATCGCTCTCCTGGCTCCCGGAATAGGCAACCCTATAAGACCATCTTCAGCAAGGTCGATCTGGTTCGCACCCATTATCAGATCCCTGTGAAAGACAATGACATTCCTAAAACAGCCGTCATCACTCCTTTCGGTTTGTTTGAATTTGTAAGAATGCCATTTGGACTGTGCAACGCCGCACAAACCTTGCAACACTTCATCCACGATGTCACTCGTGGCCTCGACTTCGCCTATTCCTACCTCGATGATATTTAATAGCCAGTTCACCGGAACAAGAGCACCTCGAGCACCTTCGAACTCTGTTCCAGCGCTTGACCCAACACGGTGTCACAGTCAACCCGACTAAGTGCGAACTCGGCAAAACAACAATAGAATTCCTGGACCTCCTCGTTTCATCGTCTAGTATCGAAGTCATTCTTTTAAGATCCAGGCACTCAATGACTTCCCAGCTCCGATTTCGTTCAAGCACCTCCGTCGATTTTGTGCTTTGGTCAACTATTATCGACGCTTCATTCCGCGGTGCGCTCAGCCCATGCAGCCACTGACTGAGTTACTTAGAGGAAATGAACGTAAGTCCGCTTTCCCTGCCACAGCACAGGCAGCCTTCGCCGAGCTCCAGGATGCTATCTCCAACATAGCCTTCTTCGCTTATTCCGAATCGATTGCACCTCATTCTATTACGACTGATGCCTCAGACGTCGCGGTAGGAGCCGTCCTCCAACAACACGTTGGTGGGCAATGGCAACCCCATGGGTTCTTCTCCAAGCGCCTGCAGCCAGCGGAATCCCGCTACAGCACGTTTGGCAGAGAACTGTTTGCCATTTACCTAGCGATACGTCACTTCCGGCACACAATTGAAGGCCGCGCTTTCACGGTCTACACTGACCACAAGCCCCCTTATCTTTGCCTTCAACTCTGCTGGAGACAAATACTCACCACGTGAATAAAGGCACCCAGACTTTATCACGCAGTTCACTGCTGACATACGTCATGTCTCAGGTGTCGACAGTCCCGTGGCCGACGCTCTCTCACGCGTCAACCTTACGCTGCAGTCTTTGCCTACCGTCGACCTAGCCGCAATGTCATCGGCTCAGGCTGAAGACGAAGACACAGAGCAATCTGCAGTCCACTTCGCTGCATGTGCAACCTGTTCCTCTCCTCGTGGTGCCAGCTGGGTGCTTCGGGTTTACCCCCCTTCAGCAAATAGTTCGGCGGCGGTGTTCCAGGACGTGGTGGGTTTTCGCCTGGCAAGCCTTCTCCCTATAAAAAGCCACATATGTCCGTTTAACAACACTGTGACGTGGCGGTTGTGACTCGCCGCTAACTAAAGTCACCCATTGCTTATCCGAACAATCTCTTCAAGTCCACAGATAGCAAGTACTGGCGACACCTTCAAACACATTCAAGCAAAATGACAGGAGACATTTACCAATCCCATAAACAAAGCTTAACGCGCCTTCATGCAAATTTACATACATTCATATATAAACATATGCAACAATCCCATTGTTCCATTGTACATTGACTGATACCATTTTGTGCTCTTAACATGATCATGCCTGCGCAGGCGTGCCTCGCTTAGTCGAGAATACACAATTTATTTATTTATTTATTTATCCTCTGTGATACTTTCACAGGTTGTCCTAGAACCCTCGTGCCCTTTTTGAAGCTGGTCACTAAACGTTTAGTTTGGCCACGCGCAAACAAAGATGTTCGTACCTGGGCTCGCGCCTGCCTTCAATGTCAGCGCTCCATTGTACACCGTCATACCCGCATCCCGCTTGGTTCATTGCCTGCACCGGACTCTCGGTTCTCGCATGTACACGTAGTCCTTGTAGGTCCATTGCCTTCTTCACACGGATTCGTATACATTCGTACATGTGTCGACCGCTTCACCAGATGGCCAGAAGCCATTCCTGTAACCGACTGCACAGCTGAGCCTGTTATCCGGACGTGCTTGGACCGATGGGTCTCGCACTACGGATGCCTATCCACCATTACAACTGACTGAGGAACGCCTTTCGAATCTTCACAATTCGATACATTCTGCAACTTTTTGGGCTGTCGCCACATTCATACCACAGCGTATCACCCAGCAGCCAACGGGTTAGTTGAACGCTTACATAGACAGCTTAAAGCCTCGCTTTGCGCCTCCTCCGACCCTAGCTGGAGCGAAAACATTTCGCTCGTTCTCTTAGGCATTCTTAGCGGCATCAAAGCTGATTTGCAATGTGCACCAGCAGAGCTGATTTACGGCACGAGGCTAAAGTTACCAGGAGAATTCGTTTCACCACCCGCATCGTTGGTTATGCCTCCGTGTGCGGTCTCAAAAAGCTGTCCTCCTGCCTTATTCGCCTCCAAATCTTTGTATTCATTCTCACGGAGACCTACGTGTCATCATTCGATTTGGCTCCGCGAGCTCCTCCTACCACTGTTCACCTATTGGATCTATCATTCGCGGATCACCAACAAACTGTGCTCCTGGAACTTCGAAGTCAAACGTATTTGAACCTTATCGAAGTTTTTATTTTTCCTCTCGTCGCATATGAACTCTTGTGGTCTTATTTTAATGGTCTTTTTGAGAGTCACCCGATTAGCTTACTACCATTCCTTCAAGTCACTCTACAAAGCGATAGTCGTCAATTTGCTCTGCAGTTGGAACTGCCACTGTCGTCACTAGACAGCATGTTCCAAGTCAGCTTGCTTTGCCTCAGTCGCTTTGTCTCGCATCGCTGTCTGCCCGTCTGGATCGATAGCACACACATCGCCTGGACCTGCTTGCCTCAAACCAGCGCCGATCGCCACGCAGCGGTGCGTCGGAATCTCCATCCATTTCCTACCCCTACTGAGAACATGACTGGTATGGAAAGCAAATGCGAATCATGTGCTAAATTGGTGAAAAATGGTCTGGTGTGTACCATGTGCTTGTAAACCTATCACACTACCTGCCTTGGGAAGAAGTCGACCCAAGCAAACACCGCAGAGTCGCCTTGGTTCTGCGAAGTATGCAAGTCTATACCATTTGTTAGCTGTCTATCGGTGCTACTGAAGAGGTGTGAAAGACTAACCGAAGCGGTCGAGCAAATGGTGAGAGCCAGAGTTACACCCATGGGAGGAAACGGACCTGCACTTGTGGGTGAAAATAACACCCTGAACTCAATAGTCAGGCCGAAGAAGCGAGCCAGGCGTCCCAACCCAACCCCAACGACTTAGCCTCCAGCAGTCTCAACTCCATTCTCCCTCCCTCCTATACGTAAAAGCAGTGCTTGCAGCGCGCCTGCCTCAACTTCTGTACTGTGTGCTGCACCTTGTAGTCTGTTCAATACACTCGAGACTGTAAGCTTCAGTCAACCAGCCATAGTGAACAAACCGGCAAAGTACGCATCGGTTGCTGCCAAACGAACACCGGAAAGTGCACCGGTAACATTTGTGCCCGAACTAGAGAAAACAAAACTGCCGCAGCACGGATGGCACACACTAAGGCCGTTCACAAATTCAAGAAAAACACCAGAAACTAAGCCTCGAAATCCAAAACCAGTAGCCACCAGGCGCAACCATGGTGTCCTAAACATTGCATGCACTAATGTCCCCAAATCCAAATCCAATACAATTAAGGGTAAGTTGACGGACGATCGAAATCAGTGGGGTTCCATCTGTACGTCGATCGGAGTCCATGCTTATCCCACGACATTAAAAAGAATCTCACGCCACCCAAACGCGTTGCACTACGGCGAACCCCGGTTACTTCGGGTAACACTAAACTCGGCGGACGAGATTGAGGCCGTTCTGCTGTCCGCGAATCGTCTCCGCAACGACTCAAGTGGAGTGCGCATACTACTCGAAATCGCGTGGAAAGAACGTTCAGGGGATCCCGCCAACAAAGATAGGTACAGAATAAGTCATGATAAGAAAACAGTGATTGCTCACGGTGTTCCTGAGCTTACTGACTCCTCTTCCGACCATGCTCAGATGCATGACCGCGAGCAATGGCACTACATCCAGGAGGTTATTTCTCTCGAAAATGTGGTGGTCACCTCGTTGGCAAGGATCCCCATATCACCAAACTATAAAGGATGCGGTCCCAGACTATTAAAACTTGTGTTACAGTCATAACCAATGGCAAAAACCCTACTAGCGAACTGGATTAAATTCCGTTGCAGATTGCCAACGGAAATTCGTCTGAAAGCAGCAAGAACACCAACATCTTTTAATGACAATTCAGTAGAAGCACAACTCTTAGTGAAAACGCCAGCTGCAGGACCTGACTCGGGGACGGTTTCAAGACTAGCCATACTATCCGAATGGGCAGAGCATAGCACGAGCAAACGCCAGGATTCGGAGCATCTGATACCTGCTTATATATCAAATACTTCTCGAGAGTATGCAACCCATCCAAAAAACGATTAGTCGCCGACCCTTTAATGGTCGGCGTAAACTCATTTGATTCATCCACCCATCCAGTCGCCGGCCACTCACTGCTCGGCGACACCACGTACGAGTTGTTCAACTTCTGAAACATTGATTAAATCTGAGAAACTTTCATGTATGTACACCAACGCCCAAGGGCTCCTCAGTAAACTTAACGAACTTCGACTGCGTCAGGTTGCGAATGCTTAGGACCTAATTTTTATTACCGAAACTTGGTTGCATCAAGAGGTGACTGATGCTGAGGTTGAGATAGCCGGAATGTCACTCATCCGGAACGACCGCCCCAGCAGAGGAGGTGGGGTCCTGCTCTACTACCACAGCGATCTACAATGTACAACAGTTGAGGACCTGGAAACACACGTTACCGACTCACTCTGATGCCGTCTCCGACTGAGACACAACCATACATGTCTCATAGCTATCGTTTACCGCCCCCCAACGTGCACGCTGGAAATGGATTCCTGCTTGATCCGTGGCCTAAACAGAGTAACACGCACTAGGTACAGCCACACTCTCATCTCCGGGGACTGCAATCTACACAATTTGGAGGCGTCGGCA